GTGTGTGTGTGTGTGCACGTGTGTGTGTGTGCACGCGTGGGGGAGGGGGGGAGGGAGTGCACATGCATGTATATCCATGCGTGTTTTTTTCTCTTGCATATTTATTTATGTAGTTTAAACATAGTTAAAAAAGTCATATGAAGCATATGAAGGCAATAGCAAAAATATATTGACAAAGAAGGCAAAACAATAACGACTTATTACCAGCTGTAGTTACCTCTGGTGCACATTCTTATTGGACATCAGAGCACTCAAAAAAGATTGGTAATATTCAATAAATCTATTGATTTCTTATAAAGCTTTTTATTTCCTAGTTTTCAAACATACATTTCCCATCATACCTTTTAAAATCATGTTTTCTTTTTTTAATGTTTTGTATTTTTTTATGATTTTTACTCATTACTTCTTCTCTTTGATGCACTCACTAAATTCTACTGTAAAACACTGCCCATTATTGCACTAAAAAATACCTCTCAAATACCAGTTCTTGCCTGACCCTTTATACACTGAATGGTTTTTGTCTTTTTTTCTCTCTCTCTTACTTCCCCAATTTTTTGTTTTCATATCAATATCATACCTTTACATGAGCAAGGTAACCAAAATATCTCCACTGGATAAGATGTAGTTAATTAGGAAATTGAGGAATACTGACAATTAAATTTTAGTGTAGGTAAAAAATGTAAATGAATAATATACATCAGCACTACCAAAATACAAGATTAATCATAAGTTACAAAAACAAAGTATCATATCATGTCCAAAAAGATTCAGAATCAATACATATTTACGTCATGAGCAACAAATAATTATAACAAACGTTTAGTTTCTGAGATTCCTTTTAGAGCTTTAAATATAAACAAAAGCACAAAATATTGTTTTCATTTGATCTTTAGCTACCTCTATATATATTATCGTCATAAAAAAAAAAAAGTGATCTGATAAAAATGTATACATATAAATGTGTATATGTATGTGTAAGTGTGTGTATTTGTGTATGAGTAAGAGTATGTGTGAATGTGTGTGTGAGTGTGAGTGAGTGTGTGTGTGTGTGTGGTGAGTGTGTGTGAGAGTGTGAGTGTGAGTGTGAGTGTGAGTGTGTGTGTGTGTGGTGAGTGTGTGAGAGTGTGAGTGTGAGTGTGAGTGTGAGTGTGAGTGTGTGTATGTGTATGTGTATGTGTATGTGTATGTGTGTGTGTGTGTGTCTGTGTGTGTGTGTGTGTGTGTGTGTGTGTGTGTGTGTGTGTGTGT